AGTACATGATGAATCAGAATTTCATTTTTAGTCACTATTGTGAAATATAAAAAAATGCCAATTCTTTTTTCTTCAAACAATTCACGATTAAAAGCATTATCAGTTGGCGAAGAGTATAGAATGACGTTGCGTTTTAACTAATTATATAATATATATATATATACTGTATAAAAACCATTTATCATGTAATTTCGGGCAACGATCGTCTATATATGATCGAATTGTGGAACCAAAACAAAATTCTAATTTTATTTACGAATTTTCAAGTTAACAGATTTAGAGAACACATTTTTCCTTTATTAAAACACACTCTTATAGTAATTGATTTTGATTTTATTGTCAATTGGTAATTCCTAAATTATACAAAATAATATTTAATAAAATTGTTCGTTAAACCTGCCATGTAATACGCCAACAAATCCACAACAACCCGTTTCATTTAAACTGTTTTTATTGTGAACAGACTTGGATACATCAATACTAATTGACACCACATACGCGCATACTTGCAAACAAATATTGTTTCCTAAATTATTTCAAGGAATTATTTCTGTACCTGTTTTTGTTTATAAATATTGTCCGTTAATACGTTCAGCCAGACGTGTGTATTTCCCCTAATTTAAATTATGAATTTAAATAACTCCCAGATCCTTTAATAACACACCACATCACATCACATCGCCACACCGTATTATATTTATATTATATAACAAATTATGCATACTTAAAGAAAATTTTATATGCTTATCAGATTCCAGCGATACGGAACTTTTTTCGAAAAAAATTAATATATGTTTTTTTGGAATTATAAATAGCCAACTCTCTTATCTTTTAGTTGTATTAAAAAAAAATCAATATGATTGTTTCTATTGTCTAAATCTCCAAAAAACAAACCACAAACAAGACTTTTTCAAGTGTTTAAAAAACCAAACAAAAGAAACTTGGCGAATATATTTTATAAATGATAAATTAAGAAAATCATATAAAGCTTATCTATTGTTTTCTTTAAATACGGAAGCGAT